TAAGAAAGAAGGGATCCAACTTTGTAAGTGTCTAAGGGACTTAAGAGATCAAATCTCTGGAAAATTTAATTCACTTGAGGCACTTCTGATAATTTGCCCAATTTACCAGGAAAAAAACCAAATTATAAAAAGCTTGGCACCAGTTATGCTGGAGGCAAAACAAACCTTACTCGTTAGGTCTCTCACTACTCTGTATATCCTAAGCTGGGTGGTGGATCCCCAGGGAATTTCCCCTTGAACACATTCTTTCTTAGCAGTCAGGGAGCAACTAATGTGTGAGAGTGCCTAGAAGGAGTCACTGTTTTTGAGTGACAGCATGTAAACTGTACAGTCTCCTGTAGAAAGGCTGTCTGCTGGTATTTCAGTTCACTGATAGGGATTCTGTTTCCCCTGTAGTCTGGCCTCTCCTTGTCTGTTTGTTTTGTTATCGTTGGTATGGAGATCATCAGATCCAAGTACATTTGACATATGGAGATAACAGTCAGGAAAGGAAACACCATATGGCAGACAATTCATATCCATCAAGATCTGTCATAAACCCATTTTTAGCAATAGAAGAAGAGGAGCAGAAAAAGACAGCAGGTTTGAATTTAAAATAAGCATGCTGCTCTAACAAACAGGAGGGCCTAGGGCTTGCTTGGCTAAATGAGACCATTGGTTCTCCAAAGCCAGCACCTGCTGCTGCTTCAACAGTGGGTTAAAATCCTCTGCAGTGCATTGGCCAATTCCTTATTGACCATTGTGACTAATTAATGACTAATCACAAAGCCTTGAATGAAGACACTGGCCTGTCTAGTCTGTTAAATCACTGCCTTGGGATACTCCTGGTCTAATCCAGCTGTTCAGTCCACATTTATGGGGAGGAGAGAAAAGGGGAACACCAAACTGTACGGGTGCTAAAGGGTGAGTGGGCCTGGAGACCTCAGTGTGCAATGCATGGCTCTGTCCTCGGTGTCTTTTCTGCCCTGCAGCAACATCACATAATTGACAGGACACGTGAGACAGTCCATGTCCGTACCAGGAGGGCACTAGCATTGTCTGTTGGAAAGGTGGGCAGGACTGAATTCAGGCTGGATTCAAATCATCTACAAAGGTGCTTTGGATATGGAGTCCTGTGTCTCAGGAATGTCCTAGGCTTCAGGCTATTTCTGGGACTGACTGCCTCAGGCAAGGTGTAGATGTATACCAGAAACATGGTATTTAATTTCTTAAATTAAAAAAAACCAACCAAACAAACTGGTCCTTCATTTTGCCTGAGTTGAACTTTAGGCTGGAGAGGAGTATTTTGAAGGGTTGTATCTACTATAGACGTGGCTCTATTTGGATTATTTGGATATACTGGGAAGTTTTAAAGGAATGAGGATGCTTTCCAAGATAGAAAAATACTGTGTGTCACTAATCTATGTAACTTTGTTAATAACCAATTGAATTTTTTCTGTAGAATGTAGCAACCGTTTTTCTCTAGGGGAAACCTGGCCTTTTACCAAAGAAAGTGGCCTTTTATGTTTATGTGGTTTTCTTTTTATAACCCTGTAGAAGAGTCCTGCAGGATAGAAATGTTGCTTTGAGGATAAGCGAACTTCTGCAAGGGAGTGTTTACATTGTCCAGCCTAACAGAGGTCTCAGAGTCTCAGGCCCTCCTGTGCCAAGAGGAAGGAGCAGCTTCACGCTCCTTCTCTTGAATTCAAAAGCTGAAAAACAGAGGAGAAATAGCCCCTGTGCAGACATACACTTTGAAGGAGGATCTTCTCCCAGACTTTTTTCCTCATGTTCTTTTACATAAGTTCCAGAGGGGCCAACCTCCCATCTCTTCTGCCAATTATCTTCTCATCTGTTGTTTTCTCTGCTCCAGGAGCAGAGTAGTTGAGCTGTAATGGTGAGTTTGCTGGCACTACATTTCTGGAAGTAAGCTTGGCCAAGTGTGTCTCCTACTCCTTTCTGGGTGAACAGGAAGGATAAAGCCTTTGTCTGATCTAAAGGACATCAAAGCCCAGCCCTGCCCAGAGCATCACCACAGTGTCACAATAAGGAGGTGTTGTTGAGCATAGCAATCTTTTACAGTTGCCAGCTCAGAGGGTTTAAAATGCAAAATGGCATTTCAGTGTTTAAGAATAGCAAGTAATTTGATGGCTGTAATAGAAAAGCTTCCAATAGAAAAGCAATGTGTTCCAGAGCTGCATAACACTGCTGATAAAATTGCCTTTGGATTCCTTGTCTAATATTCCAGCCTTTCTCTCGCTCAGCAAAACACAATAGCTTGCACTAAGTCTCCCTGGGAGGGCAGCTAACAGCACATTTACTAGACACTTCAAACATTTGATCATATTTCTCCTGAGTATATTTAATATCTGTTAATGTCAGCAGCCCCAGCCTGATCAAAATACCTGCATTGCTGGGAAAAAACGTTTAATATAAAAGATGACACGGGTAAGCAATCACTTACTGATGTCTTTTGGAAATGGATGACTACCTAGGCTTCCCCTACCCCACTTCTACCTCCCCGTCCCCCACCCTGATCTCTTACCACCCTGCTGCTGTGTGCTCTGCTGAATGCATTAGAGTGGTTATTCTGAGTATACAGGAGATGCCAGGAATAGTTTCAGGTTTCCTGCCTCATCAAACCAAATTCAATCTGTAAAAAATTAATACACCCAGAAGGAACAGTTAAAAGCATCTCCAATCAATTACTGTTAAAATGGGGGCTAGAAGGCTGATTCGTTAAATGAAACCCAATCCAGCCCAGAGCTCAAGAGGCTACTGAGGCAGCAGTACAGCGATGAGTCAAGCTGTGGTGCTTCAGAGGAGGATAGCGAAGAAGGAATGGGTTGAAGCAATGAACGCATCACTCTCAGCTGCTCACTGCTTCAGGCTTGGGAACCCCCAAAGGCACACCCTTTCTTGGGCAGGCCAAAAAGTCTCAGCAGAACAAGTCTTCTTCCCAGACTTCCCACAAGGCAGCAGGAGGTGGCACAAGCCCAGCCCTTTGCAATGGCCATTTGCATCTTCTGTCCTTTCTCCCAGTGCAGCTGGAGTGAGAATACAGGATGCAGCCAGCAGCCTTGAGAGACCTGCACACTTACAACAGCCCCATGTCTACTGCACTGCTCACTCCAGCAGTTCAGAAGACAAGTCGGAATTTGCCTTTAAAACTCTTAAGTCAGAAATAGATAGATTAAAGTCATTTGATTTTTTTCTTGATATCTGAACATTGTTGACATTCAGTGTTATTTGTGAAGGAAGCTGAGACTCTCATATCATCTCTTGACTTCAGGGCCTGGAGCTTCAAGCTGCTGTTTTAAAGGTTGAATAAGTTTCAAGAACTGCCAACAAAGAGCCTTGTGGTGTAATTAAACAGAAATCTCAGTAATTTACACACAGTGGGTTCAATCTGTAACTCTTGACTGTCTCTTGTCTGGTGTGCCAGTTTTCATAAAGCTAAACTCTATTTTTTTCCCTCAAGTGCTGTCTGCTTGTTTCCAAGCTGTAGAAAATTTCCAAATCATATCTGAAGCTACATTTGAATGAAACCTTTTCAAGAATATTTTCTTGCTACGCAGTGCCTTAAAAATAAATAAATAAACACACAAACAATTAGGTACACAACCAGCTGAAGCCCATTGTCACTGCTTTGCCTCTGATTAATGTAGGTCACACTTTTCTTACTTCCAGCTATTAAGTATTTAGATCCATTTATACTTTAATCCCTTGTCTTTTTCCTGGTCCTTTGTTGCTGTGTTACATCCTCACAGTCAGAGAGCATTGAACTAAGTGGTAGAAAAATGGGAAGAGGGAGTTAAGGCAGTAATCCAGCTTTGAAATAAAAAATTGGCCTGAGGTGAGTGCTTGAATCTAAAGAGCTTACTGAAGGCAGAAGGGGGGGGAAAAATTGTGGCAGGAGAAACTGAGGCAATACGACCTGAGCCAGTACTTATCTGGATGGGGTACTTGAACACAATTCTCATGAGAAAGGGTTCATTAAACTGCACTTCCTTGAGTGTTGACCGAGTCAGGACTAGGAGCGAGAGATTTTTGGAAGGTTATGATAGGATTGTTCGGGTTGTTAGGTAAGAGAGTACTTCAGCTGGTGCCGGAGCTATGCTGCTTGGCGGGCTGCTGTGTTCAGCGAAGGCTTCATGCAGCCCTGAGGAGGAATCAGAGAGGCCCAGAGCTGCTGAGATGGGAAGGGTTTGTATTGTGCTCCTCACCTTCCCCTATATCCCTTTGTTCAGGCAGAGGAGCGCTGCACCTGAGAAATATGTTCAATTTGCTCACATATCTTTGCCTATGAGATTCAGTGTGTGTTCTGGACTTGATCTGTTCCAAAAACTGTATTTCCCTTGGAGCTGGGAAGGAAATTTTGTAGACACCAGCAACAACTGTGCTCATAGTGAGGAAACATGTCTGCCTTTTAGCTATCTGTCACTTTTTCTATACTCTTCTCCATCTTAAACAGTAGAAGCAACCTCCCTTTTGGTTAAATTAGAGGAAACAGGCTGGAGAGAGCTCAGGTAAGACCAACTGAGATATTCTTACGTTCACTAAAAGAAGTTTACACAGAAATAGAATTATTGTCATCCTCTGTCAATAACTGGACATGCTGACTCCATAATGCCCTAGGTTACACCTCTAGTTCTTTGCTGCTTGAAAGCCAAAATCAATTTCTCTATGAAATATTGAAAATAAAACACCTATTTTAAGGAGACTTTTTGGACTCCTTGCATTCTGTGTCGCAACAGGTATAAGGTGGGTTTGGCTGAAAAGAGAGAATTGTTATTTCATTTTTCCAGGTCTGGGCAAAAGGAATGATGTTTCTGCAGTCAGATATAGGGGACTGCATGGCTCAGTTTTGCCCTACACTGAGATACAGTAACACACAGTGTTGGTGCAGCTTTAATTTTAATTCAAAATAAATATTTCCATAACCTACAAAATTCCCCTAATACACTTATCCGGGAGAACACAAAGATTAAAGAAATCCTGCTAATTCCTTTATCTTTCAGATACAGGGCTGAAAACAAAGACATCCAAACCTTGAGCCATTTAGAAGAGGAAGAAGCCAAAATCTGTGCCAGAGGTTTGACTGCTGGGTTTACTCATGGCTTCAGGTAAGCTTCTTTCCCTGGGTTGTTTAGCATTTCAGAGGCCCTCTGTGTTCCTCAAGGAGAGCTGTGGATTACAGACATAAAACCTTGCATAGCTTGCAGCCAAGGCAGAGCAGGGGGAGTACAAACAAGCTAATCCAGGGTGCCTTCCTATCCAGCTGCCTGCCTCTGACCCTGGCCAGCACTACATGCTTCAGAGGAAGATGTAAGAACCTCACAGCAGGCAGATGCAGGATAATCAATCCTTTCAACCTTTTTCTCAAGCCCCATTAGATCTCATCCTGATCCTGAAATAGTTAGAGGTTGGATTAAGTCTTGAAGAATGGCATTTAATATACTATAAAAATTGTTGTTATCATTAACTCCCATGACTCTGGAAACTAATGTTATCCTTAGACAAATACATTTTCATTTTGAATCACCCTGTGTCCTTGGTCTACTATAGCAATGAGTACATAGGCTTAAACACCTGTTTGCAAGAAGTATTTAATATTTCTTTCTATCTGTGGTAATTTTGCTGTGATTTTTTTCACTGTTTGTCTTTTTTCCTGACATTATGAAGTAAGGAGTAGGGATAAAGTGAGTATGCTCTAAAGATTACATATTCCTTCCTCACATTATTGTACAAAAGGTCTCAGGGGATGAATTCTTTCAACAGCTTAAGCATTAGTTTGGCAGCCTGCTTCCAGCCCCATTCAAAAATACAGATACCCTAAACACACACCCTAATCCATACCTTAGTCCAAATTGCTGACCTTGGCTAACTTTTGTCTCAGCTTTCCCAGCATGGTTAGGATAAGCACGATCTTATAGGAGAGCTACTTTTGTAGACCATCTACCCTTTGGCAGCCCCTTTCCTGCCCTACTCAAACTGGAGTAGTAGTTTTTGTCTCTCTCCTAACCCTTTCACTCACCCTTTTTGCCAGGGCAGCCTTAACCAAGTCCCTCAGATGCCCTAGAAGTGGAAGTGGTTTCAGTCCAGAATGCATTTGCAGCTTCCCTGTTCCCTTGGCCTCCCTTTTTCTCCCTGCACCAGTTGTAGCACTCTTATTGTAGTCATTTTTAACCCTAACCTTAGCTAATGGCCTTGTCTTCTGCTCTTTCCTTAGGATGTCTTCTTAATACCTTGCTTTAACAGAAATCATGTCCCCATTTAACTTGTGCAGTATCTCTGAGGAAGTTTTCAGAGCCAGAGAAGGGACACGATGTGAAGGACTTCAGCTGGGTTTGTAGTGCTTACGTAGAATTGCTCAAACACTTTTGAGTGTTTAATTTTTAACCAGTTTTGGCTATCTGCTATCATTTGCGTACAGATTGAATCTACATGGATACATCTACAGCGATGATTTGAACAGTTTCCTTGCGTCACCTGCATTACATCTTTGCACCTGCTGCATCCCCTCCCCAACCCCGGCTCTTGACCATTCCTCCTTTACTCTCCTCCTCCCTATAACATCACGGCCTCTTTCTCTTGCATGTTGCATGCTCTGTTCTTCTCTTCTCTCCTGCTTGGAGCTTCTCGCTGAGACAGAGGCCAAGGGGCACCGGAGGGACCCATGTGTGTATTTGGGTGTGATGGGAAAGAGAATGCAGAGGAGGCGCTGCCTGTGTGAACGGGCAGAGCCCCATGCTGTGAGCTGGGGGAGGGAGGCGGGAAGGGGAGGTGTTGTTGCCCAACTGCGAGACACAACCTCTCCCATGGTGGGACAGGGGCAATTGCTGCTCAGAGCTGATGTGGTGTCCTGTGCCAGAGACACTGGGCGCGTGCCTGCTAAGGGGATACCCTGTGCAGCAATGAGGGCCCTCAGCAGTTTGGGGGTACAGATCATGGTATGGGTGTAAAAAAACCCCTGCTTTCTCGGTTAAGAAAGAAGTTCCCACTGACATTTAGATTTCTGTGCAAGCAATATTTTCCCCTTTTCCAATGTTACATGTCTTTGGTGTTTTGGTACTTGAATTTGATTACTTGGGCCAGTCATCTGGTTGCCTAAGGTTTTCCTGAATGTCATCATAATAATTCTTACTACTTACCCACCTAAAAATTTGTGGCTAGTGCATTTTTTCCATTTCAGTTCCAGCGCTTTCTAGATCATTCAAAAACACAAGCAAATTAAACAGTGTGGGATCCAGAGCGGAGCCTTGAGGCATATGACATTTGTCAGGGTGAAAATAGACTATCTTATTCTTCTTTTCTTTTCCCTTTGTTAAAGTTTTATCAAAATAATAGTTTACCTGTCTCCACTATGCTGTTTGAATTCCCATAGTTTCTCTTTTTTGTGATGTTTGCTCAAAAGCATTTTGACAGTCTGAGTAAGTCGTGGCTTTCCTCTGACACGGCCAGAGAATTATGAGGGATTAGTGAAACACTTCTGCCTTCTCTGACTATCATTTAAAACACCCCGAATACTATTTTCTTCCCATTCTTAATGCTGCTTTTAAGGAAGAATGGCTAAAACGTTTCAACTAAATGTAGCTTATTAGACTCCAAAAATCTATTTCTGTTACCGTGCTGATCACATCACCCCTCGGCACCACCAGGCTTTTAAGTGTGGAGATCAGTAGTAATTGGAAGAGCATGAAGTAATTGGAAGAGCATGAGAAAGGGCAGATTTCAAGAGCTTAGGGCTTGATTTTCCAAACAGTTTGGTGCTCATACCTGGTACTGGAGTTTCACAAACCTAACTCTGTGGGAATCAAACTGTTTTGGAAACCTGACACAGGGCTGTGCCTTGGCCTCTCCTAATAAGCTGGTGAGTCTTCCTGGCACAGTGCAGCTCTGTGAGATAAGAACTCAGCTTGTATAGATCCAGTAGACCTTTCAGTGCCCAGAAAATTAGCCTTGCTGTAGAGCAAAACAGCTTCACAGCTATTCCCCTTCCATTTTGGATGATGATTAGGGTAGAATTAACTTGATGGCCTCTGCTCTGTGCATGGTTGCATCAAGAAGATAAGTTCATGCTTTGAAGTCCATAGAGGGTACTTTGGGGAGTGTATAGGCCCATCCCCAATGTCAGACAATGAGGAATACTCTTTCTGCAACTACTTCTACATGGGGTGAACCCAAAGCCTATGAAGGTTGCTTCCATCATAAGCCAACGGAGATGGTGCAGGTGCCATTGCCTCAGGCATTCATTAAAATTCCCCTCTGACCCTCAGAGCTTCTTCAGGACTGTGAGACCCCTAAGATCAGGCTATTCATCCTACTTCTCCCAGAGAAGTGTGGCTTGTCCAGTGGGCCATGTGTTTCTTTGCAGCTGGTTCTTCAGGCTGCCATGACTAACAAAGTAGCCCTTGACTGACTGCACACGTGCATCCCTGGTATTCTGCTACTGCCTAACTCTTCTGAGAAGAAATGGATGCTGCATTTGATGACTTAGTCTAGTCAATGGACACTGTTACTGGAAGAAAAAATTCAAATTGAATAAAAAACCCAACCCAAAAAAACATAACACAAAAATCAAAACACCTGCAAAATGCTGCTCCAAATAATCCCAAGTGACTTGTCCTGTTGCTACAAGGAGCCATGCAGCTGTTACAGATACATGCAGGAAAATGATGTTATTAGAGGCATTAGGCATTTGTTCAGGGGGCTGTGGAATGCAGCCATTCCTTGGGCATTGCAGGTGTATTAAGAGGTCAAACAATCTTTCTATTTCCCTGTTTGCTTCAGAGAGTTTTGTTGAACATTCTCATTATTCGTTGTGGTATTTCTTTGATTCAAGAGGATTTCTCTACATGACTGTAGTTATTAGAATGCAGTCTGTGTGCGGTGAATGTGCTATTACTATAACAAGCTTCTCCTTGTAGTAGATATTTATTCTGAGCGCAAAGCTTTTAGTTCAGCTGTGCGTGTGGCAGTGAAGACAAGATAGGGCATGTAATTTAGAAAAAAAAAAAAAGAGTGAAATGGGGAAAAGACACAAAATTAGTAGTTCAGAGTAGTGACTTCTGTCCCTGTCTTTGTTCTGGCCTCTTTGCCAACTATTAACTTACTTTTCATTACTTTTTTTTTTGATAGAGAGAAGCTCTGTACAACAGCATTAAGACCCTGAGGATGGGAGCAAACTTTTCTTTTCAAATAACTTTCCACTAATTGCAGCAGGGCTTTAGATCCTATTAATCTGTAGATAAATTGCAGAAAGCCTCTGAATCCCTACACAGTTGTTGGGAATCCTTTCCGATCCTTCTCCAGAACTTGCCTTCTTTTCCTTGTCCACAACACCCTTTCAGAGGGTGAGAAAGGAGAAAGGGGCGGCAGAAAGAGGTTATTGGGGGGGGGGGAACAGTCAAACACACCACGCAATCCTCTGGTTTAGCGAGAGAAGGCAGAGGCAATGAGAACTTTCTGTGGGTTTAAGAACAGTAGGAATACTGTCATTACCAGCAACAGATAATTAAAGACATTATAATGAAGATAGGAAGTGAAAGGCATTATGTCATGGTTCCTACTCTACGTTTGAAAAGCCACAGCATATGGGCTTGGATAAGGCTGATTACTTCCCAGAAGAAATAACCGAAGAATCTGCTAAACATTATCTATTAGGACAACATATATCTAGGAGTCTTGAGAAGGTTGGTTTGGGAAACATCTAGTTTTAATGAACGTGGGAGTGCTGGCAATATTGCAGACAACTGCAAAGGTCTTAGGTTTTGCCAGTAATTCAGAGGTGTGTAACAGCAGTGGCTATGATAGTTATAAGCTGAACAACCTGAAGTTAATATCTGGCAAAATATTGCACAGGGAAATATGAGGTTCCGTTTCTAACTAGAAATATAAAATAATATCAGGCAACATAGCTTTCAAGGAGGGAGAGCCTGCTAAACAGAACAACTTTCATTTTGTATGTGATTTCAAATTCAGTTGTCGACAGTGACTCCAGAGAGATAATGTGCTTTTGCAATGTGTTCAGCATGGCCCAGCACAATATTTTGACTTGAGTCAAAAGAGGCAGGGAATGCTGACTGATGGGAGTGAGGTTTTTATGAAATAGTCTGTGTCTGGT